TGGAGGCCTTTTTAGGTTCTTATTACAAGCTATAACAACTGTGGAAGAATTTTGGGCTGTGTTTTCGCTCTTTTTCCTTCACGACACTATCCCCCTGACGGCTCGGTCTACTTCCAAGGCCTCGACCGTTGTCCTTTCGGGAATCTGGAAAACACAGTGCAAGGAATGAAAGGAATTTTTGCACTCTTCTCGCTTGCCTTTTTTTCCACTCTCCGCTTTGGAAGTCCTTCGTGCGGCCCGGGGCCCCTGGAGTTTTTTCCCTTTTGTTTTTTGAACGGTGACCAACAATAACAGCATCCCATAAACAATGGGGTTTGTTGATTGGTGAGGCAGCGAGGGGAGAGAGTTGGGGAAGAGGGGGGGTGAGTGTTATTGCGTTTGGCAGCTGCTGCGCTGGCAGCCTCTCCACTGAGGGTTAGCGATGTGCTCTTTGTGGTAGTGTGGAGATATTATGTCAGTTCTTGGCTATGCGGCAGCTCTCGCGGGAGACAGGACCCTGCTTCCCCTCATAAGCCCTCTCACTTTCCCCCCTCGCTCTCCGTCATTCAGATCCTTTTAGCAGACACAATACCGTTCAAAAAAGCCCCCAAAGCACTTCAGATGGAACGTAGGAAGACTATCCAAAAACACTGGAGCGGCATTTAAAACACACACTCCTTCTGTGAACTGCTCTTTGAGGATATATAACAGACCTCTGCAAGACAGACCTTGGACAGATATAGAAAGCTGGATCTCCTTTTAATGGTGGCTCTCCCCAACAGCTCTGTACTATAAGTACTAACAACTAAATGCAGCATAACATTAATTTTTCTGCTGTTCTGCATATTTACATGATAAGTTGGAGGTACGCAATAGTAGTACATCATTCGGAAATACTCTCTTGTGTTTAATAAGCAGTGTTTATTGTTTAAAAAGTAGGGTTTTATTAAAAGCCCATCTAGGGACAAACGTTGCAAATGAGCATATACACCGATCAGGCAGAACATTATGACCACCTCCTTGTTTCTACGCTCATTGTCCATTTTATCAGCTCCACTTACTATATAGGCGCACTTTGTAGTTCTACAGTTACAGACTGTAGTCCATCTGTTTCTCTGCATACTTTGTAAGCCCCCTTTTACCCTGTTCTTCAGTTGTTAGGACCCCATGGACCCTCACAGAGCAGGTACTATTTGTGTGGTGGATCATTCTCAGCCCTGCAGTGACACTGATGTGGTGATGGTATGTTAGTGTGTGTTGTGCTGGTACAAGTGGATCAGACACAGCAGTGCTGCTGGAGTTTTTAAACACTGTGTCCACTCACTGTCCACTCTATTAGACACTCCTACCTTGTCAGTCCACCTTGTAGATGTAAAGTCAGAGACGATAGCTCATCTGCTGCTGCACAGTTTGTGTTGGTCATCCTCTAGTCCTTCATCAGTGGTCACAGGACGCTGTTGGCTGGATATTTTTGGTTGGTGGACTTTTCTCAGTCCAGCAGTGACACTGAGGTGTTTAAAAACTCCAGCATCACTGCTGTGTCTGATCCACTCAGACCAGCACAACACGTATAAATGTTGCGGCATCAGACGAGTCCTTGTGATGCTCAATGCTTCTATGCTCAAGTGTCTGTCTCTATTAAATAAACATCGTAGAAGAACTGACAGAGCTCTAGATAGTCATTCACAGTATTGTTGGTCACAATCATTCGATGCACATTTGCTCTCACACATGTACGTATTCACACACACAGTGCTGTGAAAAAGTCCACCCATTTATTTAGTTTCCAGTCCAAACAGGCATGAAGTACAACTTATTCATTATTTAGTGTCTAAAACTAGAATAATATTTAACAGAAAGTCTCCACAACTAAATATAATGTCAATTTTTTCAGTTTTTAGTGTCTCCATCATTTGCCTTTATTACAGCTTTAATTCCCTTCAGCTCGCTTTCAAGTTCTCAAAGAAATCTGCAGGGATATTTCTGCACACCTCCAAAGTTCAGTCTTTATAAGTTGGTTGCATTTTCTGTTTCCCACAATCTAAGTAATCCAAATGCATGCAATGATGTTGAGGTCTGGACTCTGGGGTGGTCAGTTGTTCTGAGATCACCAGCAGCTTCGTATGATTTGCAACTTTTCTTGTTTTGTGTCTATTTCCTTTTCTCAGTAACAGCTTCTTGACAGCTACACGCCCTCTCAGACTCACAGTGTTGAGTTGTCTTCTCACAGTGGAAGGATGGACAGAAACACCTGTGTATTGTTTCAAATCTGCAGCAAGTGTGGAGCTTGATTTTTTTGAATGATAAAAACTTCAAAGAAAACTTGCCAAGAAATCAAAATTTTACTTCTTTAACTTAGAACTAGAGCTAATGGTCACCCAAACAGCCCTAATTGTTTCTGTAAAAATACATCCCCAAAACTCTCAATCCTCTAAAATTGCATCAATTATTAACATTACACAGACTTGCCGATGTGGTTTAGAGCACAGTATAGGTTCCTGTGAGCTATAAAAATTAACCGCTACAGGAAGTCACTTCAGACAATGACAGGACTGGTATTGAATCAGATTCCTCTGTATTTATGGTGGCCACTGTCACAAATACTGATTCTACATCAGCACAACTACTCCAGGGGTGATGTGTGAATACAGACTCTATTTATAGTTCACAATAAATCATAATGAAGTTTTAATGAAAACCTGGATGCGGTTTGAGTGGATTGAAACAATGTATTTTTACTGAAAAGATTTGGGCTCTTTGAGTTACTACTGAGTTCTAGTGTTTGTTTGCAATGTTAAACTTGTGGCGAAGTTCAGATTTCAAATGTGTCTTGGCTGATTAGCTACAAGTGAAGTGGATTAGATTTTTGCTGACCCACTCTTTTTAGTGCTGTTTATCTAATGAAGACAGTTTTTGAAGTCTACTAGGTCTTACACAGTTATTAGGAGCCCAATTTTCTCTGTAACTTTTTGTACTTAATGGCTGATTTGACGGGAAATTAAATAATAAATGAGGGGTGCTCTCTGACTTTTGCACAGTACTTTACACACGCTGCTTGTCAAAAGTTTGGGGACATCTTAACACCTTTTGAAAACTGAATCTGCTCATGGTTACATTTGGCACGTTTTGCAACACTCAGCTTCAGTTTCATCAAAGTGTCTTTCCTGATAGCAGCAGCTTTTACCTAAATAAAGATCTGACAGATTTCTTTTCCAAACTATTTTTAAAATCATATATTGAACATCTTTTGGCCCAAATGTGGTTTAAACCGTTGATAGGTTTGAGTGCTGATGACTGCTGGAATCACAACTAGGGAAATAAAACGCACAGGGTTTGGCATTAACCCCAACATAGAACTGTCACAAAGAATTACACTTGTGGTGTTGTTTTCCTCAAAAAAAGGTAGTTAGTCTTTAATATGTTAATCTAGTATTAAATAACAAAGAAACACAATAATGCTTATTTGTATTTAAACATTTTGAAAAGCTAGGTGACTCCAAACTTTAGACAGGCAGTGTACATGAATACATGCACACATGCACTACTATGCTGGGATGGGCCCTCTGCTGCACCGCCACCCAGGTGTGGGCTCAAACCTGTTGCCATGACAACGGGACTTGCCTGGAGCGGTGCTTTGGCCCTCGTGTGCTTCTCTCAGGTTACAGATTTTGTTTCGCAACTTTCTGCTGCCAAAGGACACTTCCAAGTCTTGCTGCCAAAATAATAGTAGAAATCTAATCAAGGTGCAGCAGAAGGAAACAGAAGGAAAGCTAAAGCTATTGCAAAACTGGTGTGGACTTTAAGTTGTATTCATATACTGTTCACACACAGATATCAGCAAAGGTTTACTCAAAACTAACAGGCTTGATAAGTTGTTTTTATGGTGCAACACAATCAACTCGCTGTTCAGCTAATCAGCAGTGAACTATCTATCACAGGCATGTGTGATGTCTGATATTCAAACCGCACTTTAATAAATGCGGCAGAGCAACATCAAACCTATGATTCGGTAAGGAACAGTGGTATTAATCTCACACTCTTTCTTTGTGGTCCTATTTAAAGCAACTGGAGTATTTCTGAAGTTTCTAAAATGCTGAAGGTAAGGTTGGTGGAAAACGTGGTGAGCTCTGTCTGGAAGAAACATTAGCCAGTGATATCATTCAATTTTTAAGGCATTATTTTTAAAATATTCACGCAAACACACAATAAATATTTGTCATATATTCATATATTACAAATCTGATGTAAACCAAAACAGCTTTATTCATCTCTGACTGTGTCCTTAGCAGGACCTACTGGAAGTACAAGGCTTTGTGCTCCCCCTACAGTCTGATCTGTGCCATAACAAACAACACTGTAATTATTCCCATGATCCAGACCAATTTTATTCACTAAATTGAGAACATCACTCCACTACTTGAAAGGTATTATAATAAATGCCACAAAAACATGGCTGGTATGAAATATTTAAACACTGAACAGTTTGCAGACACAATTAAATGGTGTACTCTACCATTCATAAGTTTAAATTCACTAGCCACATTAACAATTTTCTTTTATTTATATACAATAACAACTTATACGATGTTGGTTTAAATATTACAAATCAAAATGTATTTTTAGATGTTTTATCAATATTCCAGGATTCCTGTGAAGACGACTTTTTAAAATGCTTAATATACTATAATTGTCTATTTATATAAGATTTTGTCAAGTCATCTGCCTTGAGATATGATCACCACTTTGAAATATGATGAATTCTGGATATTAATTCTATAAAACCTTCTTACTCATCTTTTATAGTTCTGGACACATTAACATATTTTTATTTTTTTTAGCTTCCTAGTGTATCTAAAGTTGCACAGAACTAGTATAATAGCATAACTTTATAAATTTGTCAGCAACCAAATTCATTTTATATTTCTAAAACAGAGAACACCAAACTTTTGAATAGTAATGTATATTTTTTCATTTTCTTTTCTTTTTTGAAAGCAAGCATGTATGCTGCTATTTAATGTACATTTGAGGAAGATTTTTAATTAAACTTTATTTATAAGATAACATATTGAAGTAGTGACAGTGTTTACAACAAAAGGTTCTCGATCTCAAGATCCCGAATTTAACATTTTTGCTGCAACAAAATTGATCAATCCCAGCCTGAGCTGAATCAGGACAGTTACAGTCAGAAGAATACTAAACAGTGAAGTGCAGGCGTCTTCCACTGGAAGAAGTTTCTTTCACTTGCTCACATGTTCGATGATTGACTCACTCGGGAGAGGAGTATATGATGTCCCAGTCATCTACGATAATGTCTTCATGATCACGAACCTCCTCTCCTGTTCGCTTTCACCACTTCTGTCATATCACGACTTTGGTTTGAATGGATCTGACCAGATCTTCATTCCTAATAAAAGGAAGAGACCATGTAAAAATACATAAGCAACTAAGTTTGTCCACACGTAAAGATTCAGAGGACTGCACTCTGCATTACTTCTGTTCGCTCAGGTTCTGATACAGATCAGTACAGCTTAATTTACGTCAGCAGTACAAATGTACAACTACATGTTTCCTCAGCTATTAGCTTCTGATCCAAACCAATGGTGGACATGGCTTTTAAATGACTGTAGGAAGGACTTGACTTACCAACAGGCTGCACATCTGCCTGATTGATTCCAGCTCGATTAACTTTCTGGATCTCCTCTGTAGAAGTTCAGGATTTAACATTAGACAGCTAAATGATGAGGGGCGACTTTGAGGTGGACTATTTTAAAGGGCCCATATCATGGAAAAAACAAATTTTCTCCTCTTTTTTGAAATACAGGCAGCCAATCATAACAGATGCAATTTACATCTATTTACCAGAGAATTCTACAGATATTTCAAAACTGTTGCATAATTAAATTGTTAAGATGTAAACAAAGTCAGAATTGTTCACAGGGGTGGTGATAAGAACCGGATGCCTGAAGAGTTTATTGCCTCTAAACACTACCTCACAGGAAGTTACAACATGAAATGTCTACGAATACGTTTATGAACACCTTATTTGACATTTTTTTTCCCCCAAAAACTGTAACTTTATATACTGTAACATAAAACAGTCACCAAAGATTTGTCTCTAATCTATCACTTTCTTACTGTCATTATTATTACATATACATAGTAAACATAATTATTATTATATTGTTTACATAGAATACATAAAACGTATATTTGTGTAAACATAACCACCACTGTAAACAAAATCAGAGCCAATATGTTTCTCTAGTTCAATATACAACTTCACATCAAACCACTCTGAATTATTTTACATCTATGCAGACATTTTTTAAAACTGTGGAATTCTCTCTCAAAGGCACTGAAATAAAGACTGCTTGTTTAATTCTAAGAAATAATGATCATGTAAAAATGAATTAGGACTGCTTTTGGTATATAAAACCACAATTTAAGTTTTAAGAGGACTAAAATAAGTAAAAGTGTAGGACATGGGCTCTTTAAGTGACACTAAGTAGTGCAGAAAGGTTAATTCTAACAAGCTCGTAATAAAACTAGTAAAAAGCTAAATTTGCAAACATTAATGAGTCTTGAGGGCTGAAGATAAAGGGTAAGTTCACCTCACACTGATCTCAGGGTGGCGTTAGCCGCACTGATAGCTTAGCCAAATTAACAGACTTGGAAACTATCGGGCCACATTAATCATAAAGTGCAAATGACTTACTGTATTCATCTTTGTGACTATACGGATGGAAAAATATAGGATAAAAAGCTGCTGCTACTGCAGCTATGAAGCCTCCAAATATGAGCGTTATTCTCCTGTTAGCCGACATGTTTACTGCCTGAAGAGGACAGACGAGGAGAAGTCGGTTTTTCTTTCCGGGTCAAGTTCAGAAATTAAAATAATAACCCGTTCATGTTCAACAACACAATGTGGCATGATAAAGAAAAAGTGAAACATAATTTGTTTTGTTCTGTCTAAAGTGATGAAATGTTGTATCTCACTTAACCCATTTGTTTATTATTTTATCATTTTTGAATTTCGTTTACATTTTCATACTTTTATTCACAGTCAAATTTGGATTGTATATTGTCTTGTTACGTGTCAGCCACCCATGTGACCAAAAGACTAAATTTAATATGATAAATCACTGGTAAAATCACACTTTTTAGCCATATGATCGATTTGAAACGTTCTTCTACTTTGTGCTCAGCAACGTTCAGAAACCATACGAACCAAATGAAATTTAAAATTTCAGAAATCGACATTAAGTTATTAGATTAAAAAACGCACATAAAATAAAAATACAAAAGGAAAGTGTTTTTTAAAAGCCGTTAATGATTAATAAAATGCAGCCGTGGATTTCCTCCACTTTTCTTAGACTCTTTTCTTCAGGCATTACTGAGAGCTGAGTGTAGTCCTGCAGAGGACTTTTATCTTGTAGAGTTGTTCTCTGCGCTGCGGACTCTGCCGGGCCGCTCCTGCTGCTCTCTCAGTTCCGGGGCTGAATGAGTTTTCTTTTTTTACTCTGTTCATTTAGCGCATTTCTGGCTTTCCACAATGGCCTCCAGCAACATATACAGACTGAGCTGCTCCATTCCAGGCCATGAGATGGACGTGAGGGGTCTAGCGAGCACATTTTTCCCTGAAGGAGCTTTCGTTTCTGTGTCGAGGGACAGAACCGCCAGAGTCTGGGTACCAAACTCCAGGTAGCCGGCTAGCCAGCTAACAGCTAATAACAGAGCTGTGTTTATAGCAACCAGAGTGACCACCACAGTCGATAGTCCAGCTAGCTGAGTAGCTGCTTTTAACATTATATTGTTTAGGTAATGTAGTAAGTGATTAACGGTGTTCATATTACCCTAAAACAGCGGCGATTAGCTAACCAAAGCTAGCGGTAATTAGCTGAAACTAAATTATAGCCAGTCTTTGTTTTTTTAAAGCCAGCTCTACCTAACGGTAAACATTCATTATGAGTTATACATGAAAACAAGCGATAATGATGAGACAGTTGTCAACTAATAAGGCTGGGTATCGTTCAAATCTTTTCAATACCGATATCGATACCTTGACTTCGATACGGATTCTTGATCGATATTTTTTCGATACCTTCGTTTTAGTAGAAAAAAACCCACATGATATTTTAAAATCAGGTTACAAAAAATCTGTTCCAGAAGTTCCAGTTATGGCACCATACCCAACAGGTTCAGATTTGAAAGACTGTACTACTATATTTTAATTCTTTTGTTATTCTTTTTGTGGTTTCTGATGTTGGTAAGTTAGTATGCTTTAATGTTAAAACTGTATGTAGCAAAAGCAGTGATGTTACTCAAGCGTTTACTGAGAATGAGGAGCAGGTGTGCAGTTAAAACTTGTCTTTCTGCTTCTTTGTGGTTTCTCATTCTGTAGTGAAAGTAGGGGTTACAAGGAGATGCACTGTATGAACGGCCACACGAACTTCGTTTCTTGTGTCTGCATCATTGCCCCCAATGAAACCTACCCCAGGGGCCTTATAGCGACCGGAGGCAACGACAACATCATCTGTGTGTTTTCTCTGGACCGACCAGACCCTCTGTTCACCCTGAAGGGACACAAAAATACAGGTGCTACTACTGTGGCTTAGTAATTTACACACACATGTAATGTTATTAGTCATTCTAGTCTTCTACCTTCCCAGCTTTGAGCATCATTAACAGTTATAGTGACAGCTTGTTTTGGATAGACTCTTGGAGGGGATCCTATGGCAGTTAAAAGAATAAGAAAAAAGATAGAAAAACTAAACATGAGTCATAACAAACTAAAATCTTGATGGCCAGTTATTCCAACTTACTGCTTGTGTTGTCCACAGTGTGTTCGCTGTCGGCTGGGAAGTTTGGAACGTTACTGAGTGGATCATGGGACACCACAGCCAAAGTCTGGCTCAGTGACAAGTGTATGATGACCTTACAGGTACTCTCGCCTTGAGAACTGGAAAAAAACTTGGTGTTTAGACTTATATGGTGTTTAGACTTATATTGTGTGATGCTTTTTACGGTCGTGGACTGTGTTAATATGAGTAATGTATATAGAGAAGTGTTTACAAAAACACATACGTGTTATTTTTGCTCTCGCTTTATGTTAGGGGCACACAGCAGCAGTATGGGCTGTTGTTATTCTACCCGAGCAGGGTCTTATGCTCACAGGATCCGCTGACAAGACTATCAAACTCTGGAAAGCTGGCCGTTGTGAGAGAACATATTCAGGTGAGTGTGAGACTTTCATTTCATTCTCATTCATTTCCTCTTTTCCTAATGAGGTGTTTGCTGGCTGTGAGCTCATGTCTTGTTTGACAAGTAGCGAGTATGCATTAATTTTTTTGACAGGTCATTCCTTTGCTTTTGTAAAGCTCCCTAGTTTCTTTTTCATTTTGACAGATCACTACATTTTTTTTACTTTAACCACTAGAGGTCAGTGTTGACACGTCTGTGTTTTGTGATGCAGGGCATGAGGACTGTGTCCGAGGACTAGCTGTGGTCAACAGTGTTGAGTTTTTCTCCTGTAGCAATGACGCCACCATCAGGCGATGGATGGTGACAGGAGAATGTGTTCAAGTATACCACAGTCACACTAACTACATCTACAGTGTGGGTGTCTTCCCCAATGGACAAGGTGAGGGACTCCTGTCACTGCTTTTGTCTACCATATTAAGCTGCCCTGGAAGAGTGTCTGCTAAAAACGTAATGAGAGGGAGATGGGGAGACTAAAGACTTAGTGCCTGAACTGATTTTTCAACCACCTTTCATCATCTACAGTAAAAGAAAAACGAAATATTATTTGTTCATTTCTTCATCGTCTATGTACGTTAGTTCTTTATGCAGTTAACATTTTAAATTTACTTTGCAACAGTTTTCTCTCAGGTAAAATTTAGTAAGGTTGATTAGACCAAATTTTTACTCTGCTGATTTAAAAAATCATTTTTTTTTCTTCAAAAAGAATGCAGGAATATTTAAATATATCAGTGTTTGTTTATTCGTTTATTGCCAAAAGGCTGAAAAATAGCGAAATACATTGTTAGCCATATCGTCCAGCCCTAATAAGGGAAAACACATCCTGGATGCGGACTGGACACACGTGTTCAGAAGACCATTTACAAGGAAGTGAACAATTGTTATTCCAGCTATGTTAAACGTCTACATAGATTAACAACAAATTGTTTCTATTTCTTTTCCACTAGACTTTGTAAGCACAGGAGAGGACAGGACAGTAAGGATCTGGAAAAAGGGTGAATGCACTCAGACTATCCGTTTACCTTCCCAGTCAGTCTGGTGCTGCTGTGTTTTGCCAAACGGAGACATCGCTGTAGGGGCTAGGTACACATCATCTTCACTCTCGATCTAAATGGCATCTTGACTTACTAATCCAATCCTGTTGAAAAATGTCTTATACGTTTGAAACGTTTTGTTTACAAACTGTCCATAGCGATGGCATTATCCGTATATTTACTGAGAGCGAAGAGCGTGTAGCAAGTGCTCAGGACCTGCAGGCATTCGAGGACGAGCTCTCTAAAGCTACTATTGACCCCAAGACTGGAGACCTGGGGGACATCAAGATAGAGGACTTGCCTGGCAGAGAACATTTGAATGAGCCAGGTAAAACGGGCTGGCATTTCTTATAAGCCTCAGACCTGTTGTGGTTATACTAATTTGATCAACTAACTAACATCAGCCAGTAAATGCCACGTATTCCTGCAGTACAGTAATTCCAGCTGACCTTCTTTCACCTACAGTAGATTAGTGAGTAATAAACATTTCACTTAAAGCGTATAATACAAAGACTTGTTGTTATTTAATGTGCTTTTGTGCAGGGAATCGGGATGGTCAGACACGACTCATAAAGGAAGGCACTAATGTAGAGGCATACCAGTGGAGCATGAGTGATGGGCGCTGGGTGAAGATCGGAGATGTGGTGGGAGGGTCATCCAAGGAGAGCTCCAAGAAAGTAATGTATGAGGGAAAGGTAAGAAGTCATACAAAAGCTTCATAATAGGTGCATGTACTATAAGACAACTTAGAGGAATTCACATTCTACCTGGTTGATAACTTACAAAGCAGGAATAGATAGATAGATAGACAGATCATAGACAGACAGATAGATGCTTTATTGATCCCGAAGCAAATTTAGCAAATAATTTGGCAAATCTATGACATTATTAACTAGTTTGTTCCATTAGTGAATTTTTTAAATGAATACTGAGTACAGATTTAAAGTCAGCAGGACTAAATGGGTGGCTATTTTGTAGACCCTCATTAAGCCTCCTGGGAAGTGTGAGACCTTCCCCAAAGAGCCAGCCGTCCCAGATACGCTAAACATTTGTCCAAAGATTGAATGGATCAGTTGATTAATTGATTGGTTGATTAAATTATTTTTTTCCTGTCTGCTTCTGTGAGAGGAGTTATGCTCATTGGTATTTGTCATATTATTTTTACTTGTATTATTGCTGACTTGTACTTATTTTCACATTAATTAACACTGCAAGAATAATAACTGAACGATGTAACAAACTAATCAATAAATGCTTTTCATTGTTTATCTTCCTCCTTCCTTCAGGAGTATGATTTTGTTTTTACCATTGATGTGAATGAGGGGGGGCCCTCTATGAAGCTACCCTATAATGTGACTGATGATCCCTGGCTGACAGCACACAACTTCCTGCAAAGAAATGACCTGAACCCCATGTTTCTGGACCAGGTGGCCAACTTCATCATTGAGAACACTAAAGGCCACACACTTGGGCCAGCTCCGGCCTCTGCTGTAGACCCGTTCACAGGCAAGCAGCCCAGCAGGCATTATTCCTCTCTGTCTTACTGTTCAGTCTGGCTTGAATGTGCAGTTCACAGACT